GCCAAGGTTGTCAAATATGAACAAAGCACCTTAGTTCCAATGCACGAGCTAGTTGGTTCCTTTTTGATCGAATGCATGAGTAATATGAGAAACACTTACCACAGTAATGAATTTGAGTCAGAAAAGAGAATAGTTTGGGCGCTTGGCTAACAACTTCTAGCTTTTACAAAAGAAGAGTCAATATTGCTTAGGGACAATGAATAGGCTAAGTTTGGGGRTGTGATATCTCTCCTAAAGAGAGTTAATTGTATCTAAAAGGTGCATAAAATAGCTAAAGATAGCCTCATCTAACCYCCAATATTCAATGAGTGTGCCTAATTTATAATATAAATCGTTCTTCTCATATGTAATGTTAGCACTCGTATAAATGATATGATTTTGAGCATTTTGCTGCAGCTTTAATGATGCTACAACATCAGTTCCAGAATGAGACAAAAAGCAGCAAGCTAGCGGTGAAAAGACTTCTCAATGACATTTACCACAGTAACTAGAGGTTTCAACTGGGAGTGAAAGYCGTGTCCCACAGGGCTTGTTTTGTTGCCCTAAAATTGGAATGAGGTATAAATGCCAACAATAAGAGAAGCCTATACACACATCAAGACAATTTCATTGTTTATTATTGACGGAATCAACCTTCACTCCAAGGAAACCTCTCCAACCATTAAAGAAAGTCAGGAGGCGAAGAAGACAGTTATCAGCAGCTGCGAAGAGGCCGATAACTCTTATTGGGAGCTGATCTTCAGCTCCCTCTCTTCATTTTTAGCATCATTGTATTGTTTTTATTCCTACATTTTCTAACCTCCTTATTGCTTTGCCTACCTAAACACCTTGTGTAAATGGGAGATGTTGTGAACTCATCTTCTAGGCTGTAACCTTGTTGTTTTGCATTAATGATAGTATGTTTTGAGTTGAAGTTGATGTATTACTATATTTTCGATGTGCTTGATCACCATGTTGGAATACCTCTTTGATATCCTTTGGAAGAATGTATTAGTGAACAAAAAACTTCATCTCGAGCTATAGTCTACTTGAGTTTAGAGTGTTGTAACTTAGGGATAAGCACCACCTAGCTTTGTCATGAAAACTATGCATATATGCTATTATTGTTTGTGTATGAACTTTACGGGTACAAAATCTGGGGTGTGCGAAAGACCATCTTGTCGATTTGACCACTGCATTTACTCCATTAATGCTGCAGCATAGTTAAGGTGGCCCATAAAAAGTCGATGTCCTCTCCCTCTTACGCCCTTTTTTTCATAAGAACTTACTTAGTGATTGTGGATGTTTGTTAAATCTAGCGAAAACTTTACGTGTGACTGATATAATATATATATTTAAACCGTTTTTATCTCAATGCATTTTACCATCACTTAAAAGAAAGATTTCTTAGTTTATCGCATTTATTTCTTAAGTGAATATTAGGTGTTTTGGRCATTTAGTAAATCATGTATCCTGTTGTTGTAAATCACACTTTAGAGAGAACTCATTGTTGTTTGAAATTCTTCGAAGATTGTTCGTCGATTTCGTCTTTTTGGTAAGAAACAGTCTTTTTTAAATCTAGTTATGGTAGTAGATTTTTTCGTAATAATTTTTATAAAACTTAAGCATGTTCATATAAATTTTTCTAAGGTTCTCATCATCATCTCCAATCTCTATTAGTTGCTGAAATTTCTCTCATTCTATCATTTACGGTAAAGAGCAAGATTGCACCAATGGTAAACATTATTCTYCCGAAAGTAAACTATTTTTATGGGTAATTGTTGATTAAAATAGATACTGTCGGCATTAATTTTTTTTTATTCTAAAACTCAAAACCATAATTAAAAGTGTCACAAAACCGTTCATCAATCTTGCTTTATTTGTAAACCTTCGTTATTTTTTATCCGTAATTATCGCAATTTAGGACTAATACTACATGTAGAAAATTGAGGTCATATTACACAAATCATCAAAGATCATCATTAAGCCAGAAGTCAATCATCAGAGAATTGAAGAGGAAAAACTATAGGATAAATACTGGAGATTGTATTAATGGTATAGAATTGAATAAAATGATGTTTTCATCCACGGAAATCTCATGACAACAACTGTAAAGGCGAATATTGAAATACTTGTCCTAATAAACAACAATCTTTTTTTTTTCTTTTTAGGTAAAACAAGAAGTAGAGGCATGGTGAACTTCATAAAAGACAAAGAATAGTGTATTGTCCATTCGAATAAAAATTTTGTTGGTGAAATTTGTAAGAAAAAATACAGGAAGTAATATAATATGTTTTTTTATATTTATATAATTAGAATGAAAAATAACATAGAAGACATTACAGAAAGCAGCATATAGTGAACAACTTATTTGAATTTATGTCATTATATGAGGTTTTAAAATATGAACTTTTTAGGACAAGTGGATTTTGTAGCATCACAATTGATAAGAGTGATACCATTGTCAGCAAAGCACATCACAATCTCCGCCAATCGAGCAATCACCACAGATGGAGAAGTTGGTCTCTTAGATGGTGTTGTACAACGAAGAATTGGTTCCGTCCTAAAGCTCTGCTTAATGGCCTTCTGCACTTGTATCTTTTCCTTGGTGCCGTTGTTCGGCACTATTCCAGCAACTCCGAGGGTGTAGAGAAGTCTGAACCTATTTCTCATATGAATAGATATCCAAAAGTATGTGCTTTGGCGGAACGTCTTTTCTGAGCACTTCCCATGCTTATTCCACTCATGTCTCCAAAATTGTTTTTGGTTTCCCCCTATCACATCTGGCCAAGTCGCATTCAGAGGGCTTTCAAGGAGAGAAATCTTGAATCAAAACATTTTACATGTTAGCAACTTAATTGAAAAAAAACACAAAAATGTTAGTGAATAATATATATATATATATATATTCATATATTTAGCCCTTCAGTTTATTTTTACAAGTTAAAAAACATGGCTTCAGAGTTTAAACATTTGACCTTTGCGATAAATTCTAGTACGTTAACTACTACAACTATGCTTAAGTTGACTCATTAGAGTAGATTCGATATATGCATTGCTAATCAACGAAAATTTTATATTTTTAGTGTTCTAGGTTTTACCTTATCATATGTAAAATCGGTGCCATGGCACCCAGTTGCAGAGGTCCTTCCCTTTTGAGGCCACAAGCCATGGATGGTAAAGGATTCTAGGTTTGGTTGGACGCATGGCACTGGTTGGAATGCACAAACTCCTGGTGGCCATTGTTGAACAAACCAAAAACTATCAAAAGTTTGCGAGTTAGCCATTGGAAACAAAACGGTCAAGGTCAAGACGAAAAGAATTGGGGTCCTCGACGTTGCCATTGTCAAGTATGAAAGGTTGAGTTGTGGGAGATTGCCTATTTATTCTAAAAATGTTTAGATGAGATGATTTAGTTTTTGCGTGGGTGGGGAACATTTGCCTAATAAACTACCTAATTAGTGGTTCCCACTCTAAGCCTGAAAGAGAGTAAATATAAGTGCCCGTTCGTAGTGCGACCATCAATCTAATCATTACTTAAAAGAAATAATAATAATAATAATTTATTTAAAAATTAATGAGTTGTTAAATTTTTCATAGTGATTAAGAAAGAAGATATTCTCACTCGTGGACACATAATTCTTTTTCTCTGATGTCAGGAATCAACAATTCTGTACACGAGTTGATAATTATTATTATAATATGTTTGCATTCTTTATGTGTCATGGGTATACGTCAACATATGCTATAATGCGGATAAAAATAAACAGTCCACGAATATGATTGTCCAACATTTCAAAACAAACCCAATATTTCAACATTTCAAAATTTCAAAATTAGGAGTTATGTAAAAATAAATCTGAAGTTTAAAATGGTAGTATTAGAGATATTAAAAATTTTAAAATAAATTAGAACTCCGATTATAAATCTATAACTAATTTAGGATATTGAATCTCACATTTATAAAATAGAAGGAAGATATATTGAGACTTTATTTATATGTATATATATTTGTTATAAGATGTTTTCCCGTCAAAAGTTTTTTAATTAACCGTAATCAAATTACAATTTCCCTTTTCTGTAATTATATATTGAACCTAAGAATAGGTTGAAATGAAATTTTGAACTTTTGGGTTCATTCCTAGCAACACAGCGTGGAGGATATTTTAGCACCTTGTTTTGTGACAAAAAAGATACTAAAAAGGCCCATACTATATATATATATATTTTTTTATTATTATGTAAAGGTATGGGTTTTGGGGGAAAGACATGGGTGATGGTTGAATTTTTTGAAAAGCTTAGAATATTCTTCATACGGTGAAACTATCCATGTTGAACTATGGTTGGACCTAATGTCCATTCCAGTTTGATTTCCATTACTAACATGTTTGATTCTCTGCACAACGGCCCAGACTACCATTCATGCTCTCTCCTGTCACCATTGAAATGCGGTGTCAGCTTCTGCAACACCAATTCAAACTTCCCCACTTTTTTTTAATTTTTTTCTGTAAAACTACTATGACTGCGGTAATTTAACTTTTATTAGAGAGAGTAAAACAAGTGAAAAGACGTAGAAAAGTTTATTAAATGCAGTAAAATGAATCCTTCGTACTAAAAAGAATAGACCCATCATGCATAAAGCTTGTCCAGTGGCCATTCCGTAGACAAGATATTCATTAGTGTTTACAACAAATATGATATATTTCGAAAAAATATTTGGCTCGTTAATAATAGGGAGGAATATTATCTTCCGCGCTATTAAAATAATTGTTATAATTTATTGTTGTTTTTTTTAATTCTTATGTTTTATTTTTTATTTCCTTGCCGTGGTAGGTCTCCTATTCTTTTTTTAGTAGGATTACTTCCCTTCTTGATTTTGGCGTTTCCCCCGATATAAGAAGACCTAAGTTACCTATTTGTATATATTACAATATTTTTATTCTTTTAAATTCAACGTGATATCAGAGCGAATAGTCCTTGTTTTTTTCTACCAACTTTAGCTTGACGATGACGACGACGACTTTAGCCACTATATATTATTGAAAGCCTAGGCCCTGGCCACTACCACCACTTTAACCCTAGCTTCTGCCACTAGCGGAACCCTAATCGCCACTGTCGCTGGAAGCCTCGTTGCTGCCTTTGATCGACACACCTTACTTCCGGCAAAGTACATCTGTTTTCGCAAGTGAAGGTGCTTTCGAGTGGCCATTTCTTTCATCCCAGGTCACTATCTTCCTTCGGTTCGTCGGTTCTCTGGTGTCGGTGTTCGACGTTGTCTCGTGTTCAAGGATGATGTTCGGTGTTCGCAGCTATTGATTGTAAAGTATTACTGCGACCCGTTGATCGTCTTCACTTTATCGTTGTCTATTTGCACTAGATGGGTCGTCACCGCTAGTATCTGTGTAGTCGATTGCCATATATGTTTGTTTATTCGCATCGCCGAAGGGATATTCTTCACGCCATCTTGTCGCATCAGCAATCTAGTTATGGTGTTAAAATCATTGTTCGCCGCTCGGGATAGCGTTCTGTCATAAAGAATTGAAAATTTTTAGTCCTGTTCATTACTTGATTATGAGAACTAATAAGGCAATCCTAATTCTCAGCCCAATGATCCAAGCTTTTGTTGAGCAAGAACCCTTGAATCAAAGAAATTAACACCTCCTTAAACAAGTTAGAATCAACCAAGAGAAAGGCTAGAAATTGATTACCTCTATGATCAAAGATCTAGAAGCAAGAATTGAGATCTTGTTCTAGAATGAGTCATTCCACAATCAAACTTGATCAAGGCTGGATTGAATGGCTCAAAATGYAATCTATCACAAGAATTGCAASAAACCTTASAAATGGCAATGGGATTTCTAAAGAAAATGTCTCTTGAGAGATCAAATTTCATTCAGCTAAAATCTGYCTTTTACATAGCTTGGATGRGRCTTTTTATAGCCATTATATGATTGAAACCCCCAACCCTTCACTTCCCAAAATAAAACCCATAAGTAGYAATGACCACAATTGRTCTACTTAATAACCTCTCAGAATTGAACTTTAAAGTTGAAACCATAATTTGGAAGACCAAAAACTCAAAAATTACAAGCAAAATTTGATGACTTAGAAACAACAATTGAATCTTTAAAATGTTGGCACAACGTCAATCTTGCAAACGTTGACCTTCACAACATCGTCCTCTCTTGGATTATTTTGCAGCATCTGAAATAAAGGTTGAACTAAGCCTATCCAATTTTGTACGTGAATAAGGAATGCTTGTTGAAGCTTCTTAGCCTTGGCTCGTGTAATAGGTCCAGTGGAGACGTGCGGAACACCATGATTCTTATCATCTTCCCCCTCTTCAATAGGATTCGTCCTCGAATCAGATATAAGTCATCACCTACATCAAAAGGACTCAAATCAGCAACATTGAAAGTAGAACTTACTGAAAAGTCACGTGGAAGATCAATCTTGTATGCATTATTGTTAATTCTTTCAAGAACTTGATAAGGACCAGCCCCTCGTAGATGTAACTTTGTCTTCCGTTTCGAGGGAAAGCGCTCCGTGCGAAAATGTATCCAAACCCAATCACCCGGTTGAAAAATCAGTTCTTTCCGTCCTTTGTTAATACGTGAAGCAACTTTYGAATTYTGYTTTTCAATCCKCWCCTTGACCTCTTTGTGTAAGGTTTTGATCAAATCGGCCTTACTTGTGGCTKCATCACTCACAAATTCATTAGATGGAATAGGAAGCAAATCAAGGGGTGTAAGTGGATTSAATCCATAAACAACCTCAAAAGGAGAACAATGTGTGGTACTATGAATTGCCCTGTTATATGCAAACTCTACAAATGRCAAACTTTCTTCCCAAGAGTTAATATTCTTAGAAATAATAGYCCTAAGTAATGCTCCCAATGTTCTATTAACCACCTCGGTTTGGCCATCAGTTTGAGGRTGACATGTAGTTGAGAACAACAATTTAGTACCCAACTTACCCCACAACACCTTCCAAAAGTGGCTTAAAAATTTWACATCCCTATCACTAACAATAGTTMTAGGAATGCCATGCAACCTTACCACMTCCCTAAAGAATAAGTCAGCCACATGCTTTGCATCATCTGTCTTGTTACATGCTATGAARTGAGCCATTTTACTAAATCTATCCACCACAACAAAAATACTATCTCTACCCTTTTTAGTTCGAGGCAAACCAAGAACGAAATCCATAGATATATTAGTCCAAGGTTCATTAGGTACATTCAAGGGAGTATACAAACCATTTGGTTGTGATCTAGACTTAGCCGATTTACATTTAAAACATTGTCTACAAACCTTATGCACATCATGTTTCATCTTAGGCCAAAAGAAGTGTTCATGCAACATATCATAACTTTTATGAATCCCAAAATGTCCCATCAATCCACCCCCATGGGCTTCTTTCACAAGCAAATCTCTTATAGAACATTTAGGAACATGAAGCTTACTTTTTTTAAACAAAAGGTCATGAAACACATAATAATCATCCACAGCTTTCCCACCAAGACAAGATGCATAAATAGTTCCAAAGTCATGGTCATCTCTATATAACTCCTTCATATGCTCAAATCCAAGAATTTTTGCACTAAGAGAAGTAAAGAGATTGTACCTTCTGGATAATGCATCAGCAACCACATTGTCCTTACCTTGCTTATATTTGATAACATAGGGGAATGTTTCAATAAACTCTACCCACTTTGCATGCCTACGATTTAGCTTGCTTTGACCTTTAAGATGCTTCAAGCTTTCATGATCGGTGTGGATCACAAATTCTCTCGACAAGAGGTAGTGTTGCCATACTTGCAATGTACGAACTAAAGCAAACAATTCTTTATCATAGGTAGGATAGTTCAACGAAGCCCTATATAGTTTTTCACTAAAATACATTAAGGGCTTTCCATCTTGCATCAAAACAGCACCTATGCCCAAACCACTTGCATCACACTCGATTTCAAAAGTTTTATCAAAGTTAGGCAAGACAAGTAATGGTGCATTGGTTAATTTTCCCTTAAGTTCATTGAAAGCTCTCTCTTGCATTTCCCCCCATTCAAAAACAACATTCTTTTTCACTAAGTCATTCAATGGTGCAGCTATGGTACTAAAGTCCTTTATAAACCTTCTATAGAAGCTAGCTAGACCATGAAAACTCCGAACCTCACTGACTTTTTTTGGTGTTGGCCAATCCCTAATTTCCTTAACTTTCTCTTCATCAACTTCAACTCCATTTTTACCAACTATGAAGCCAAGAAAGTTAACCTTTTCCTTGCAAAAGCAACACTTATTAAAATTAGCATAAAGCCTCTCTTTTCTAAGTGTAATCAAAACGG